CTATTCTTACTAGGACCTATCTATGGACAAAATACAAGCGAAATCAATTTTTCGACTCGTGCCATTGATAGGTGATTTAGGTCCATTTTTATAGGCATTCACTCTTGAGTAGCGCTGATGGGTTAAAATATTGCTACCTGCAGAACAGTTCAAGCACTCAAGTTTCTCAGGGTCGCTGACAGATGAATCGACAAACGTCCCCAGTGGACATGGAGATACAAGTCGCTTGTTTTCACCTTTGACTTTTCTGGCAAATCCAGCTTGAGCAAAAGCCTTGAATAATGTATCATCCACGATACCGCTTTCTGGGATTTGGATGTAGTCTGTGTCACCTTGCCCTAGTCCACTAAACTCGAACACAGAAACACATTAATATAAGTGCGCGAGAAGTCCTCTTGAAAATGCGCAGGTAAATGCAGCCAACTCAAAGATCTAAACGAAATTTTACATACAGGTGAACTATGCAACGTTCGGTATGATCTGCCTCAATTAATTTCAGGGTGCCAATTTTCCCTTCGTCCATGCTTCTGCGAAATACAAAGACCACTGTTTTTATAATAATAAATGAACATTAAATTCGTTATTAACATTGACACTACAGACGGGAGATTCTTCATTGCCTTCACACAATTTACTTGAGCACATACAAAAACAATACTTACAATTATGCAACTTACACCCATTACTTTACAAAAGAATGATTGGTCACATTTCTACTCACAAAACTTTGGTATAACGAATGAATGAAAGACTTTGTTTAAGTGTCAAAGAGTACTTAGCTTTAAAAAAACTAATTGGGGACACGATTTACACGTTAAAATATATCCTAGCTACACAAAATTAAAATTATTTACAATTTAATTAATATATGATATTATATACAATGTTTATGGTATACGGTTTTAGGTGTAGACTATTTTTTTACACTGTTGATAGTATTTAGAAATATTCTTTAGTCTTTAATAGGATAGGGCTTTTCTCATTCGAGAAGCATGACCGCTTATTACATTTGAAATTTCCTGACAAATTCGTTTAAGTCACACTTTTTGGAGTCGGATTAATTACAATAAAGACTACTTGTTTCAGCAGACCAATTTCGATACATTAAAATTCAGCCCAAAACAATAGGGCTCCGGGGAATCATTACAGAGTTTGTGGGGTTTACTTCCCAGAACCTCTGCTGAGGTCTATTGTTTTTAGGCTGAATTTTAATATATCAAAATTGGTCCTTTGTGTAAGTATATAACTCTTTCTTGATAATTATGAAGTAGTTTGGAGTTGAGTTCTCTAAGTTTGTTTTCTTTGCATGTTTTCCTTATTTTAGTGAAGGCCAGACTCAAGTTAAA